TTGTTTTTCAGCTGTTTTATGATGCTAAGAATATAAACTGATATTATAATGTGATGCATTATAAGTCTTGTATTGCCTGTCTCCTGTCTTTCTAATAAGAACTCATTCTGTGTTTGTGCCTCCTGTTAGGTGGTGTATCTCTGGGCATCAATGCAAATGGAGAAAGGCTCAAGCACTGGTTTGACTGCCTCAAAAACAAGGACAAAAAAATTGAACGCTGGCACACGTTGACCAATGAATTACCCGGTTCATTAAATGACTGAACGCACACATCCTTCGTCCAACCTGTTCGCCGGCTGCACCAGGACTCCCGCATCCCCCCCGTCCTCTCCACCCAGGTCGTCTTCTCTGGGTCGCCCTCGTGTTGCCCGCATCGACCTGAGACGCCTCTCTTTGGGAATACGCAGTATTTCCTCTCCACAGGGCTGAGCTTAAAACATACACATCTCATGTTTGTGTTCAGCAACACTTTCACACATACAGAGAGGAGGTTGCACAGCTGCTCATTTCATGTTTTTAAGAGAAATTCAATCCACAAGATGACTGACAGGGATTGTAGCGTTGACTTTAAAGGATTCTTGTATGAACGGTGGAAGATAAAAGAAGCAAAATCTATTTGATGAGATCTTTTACAGCAGTTAAAGAATTTCCACTAATCCATAAAGCTGCACAGGAAAAACCTCATGATTTCAATTTGAGCAGGATCTTAGGATTTAAAGTAGTGGATACACTAACAAAGGATGTAGCAAATATTTTGTATCATTAATACAAGTTCTAGATTTGGAGCATGTATTTTCCATTTGGGCAGATGAGAGCAATGCCATAGAGACTTCGTGTAGTTTATGGAGAACAGTCTTTAAAACCGGCTGCAGGTTGAGGTCTCATTATGCTTCAAACCATGTCTGAACCACGACTCTCTGCAATGAAAACTGCTGTTTTGTTTGTTTGATAGAGTTAATAGTGAAGCTTGTGTAAAGCCAAAAACTCCACAGAGAAAGAGAGCTGGGTTCCGGCAAGAGTTGCCTATAGCTACTTTATATTGTAAGCCAAATAATCTACAATAATAAACAGTAACCTCTAACAATCAGAAGGCCCCCAATGTGCAAGTAGAGTGACACAAGTGAGAGTGGGAAGGAAGAACTCCCTTTAAACAGGAAGAAACCAGAGATTAACGGAGTGTTCAGGTAACAGGACCCCAAAGCAGACTCAGCACACCGCAGCTCAGAACTGTGTACATGTTTTTATTGAACTGAAGAATCTTTTAACAACGTTAAGGAAACGAAAAACTAAGGCTCATGCCACGGGGGGAAACGAGGAGCGTGGAGCCCAGGAGCACCGTAATCGGGACCGTGGGGAAACTGCAACAGGAAGGGGAGACAGTTAACAGCACGCAGATTGTCAAGAAATGAACAGCTAGACTTCATAAGTAGCCGAGGCTTACAGGTAGAGCAGGACGGTGGAGCTTGGAGGGGAGAGGTGCCCGTGAAGGGAATCCTAGGGAGGGAGGCAGTCAGGCAGAATGACAGGCAGGCCACAGGCTTCCACGCCGAATGCTGGTCATACAGACTGGCGAGGAGAAGCCGTCAGAGCTGGCTGAAGTAGTCCTCCGGTGATTGCCTCAGATGAGACGCAGGTGATTTGGAGGGGCCCAGCCCGAGGGTGTGGCCACCGCAGCCTCCTACGGCTCCCTGGATGCCGAGCCACGGGCCGTGACAAATGAGTAAATGCAAAGTGGTCTGCAAACACATCGAGAGTGAGTCTTAAGTAGAAAGGAGTTACAATACCCTCCAATACTCACTAACTTTATTCTGTAAAGATAGTTTCAGTTATTTTAAACCATAAGTTAATAAAATAATTTTTGCTTTTTGCAGTTCTAAAGCAGAAAACCAGTTTTTTAATTGTGGTTTTTACTTGTTAAGAAAGATATTGCAAACAATATCAACCTGCTAGCATCATATTAAAACATCTGTTTAAAGAATATAGTTACATTTGATTTCAATATGTCTAAATTACAACCAAAAAGTATACTTTCACAGCCTCCACCATCTATTTGGATTCAGCTGTAGACTGATGTATAGTATGTGGGAGTCAGATTTCACCACAGCACCTGATGGCTAGTCATCCATCCATTTGTTTTTTCATGCTTATCCAACTACGAGTCATATTGGAGCTGCGCTGGGTACACCCTGGACCCTTCGTGTGAGTCTATCATAGGCCTAACATGAAGAGACAGTCACACGCTCCCCAATTAATATCAGCAACGATGGATAGCTGAATGCAGAGAGTGTATCATTCACTTTCACCGTGACAGAGAGCAATGATGATAGGAAAGGTTCGGCTTTGGAAGATGTGGGTGAGAAACTTGAGAAAGATCCAGATCCCAGTGTGGCACATCATGGGCTCGATATACAGTAGCTGTGCCTATCTCTGGTTACAGCAAAGAATCTAAGTAGTATAACAGAAGAAAAGGCCCAAAGGTGGTGCATCAGGTCTGAATTGAGCTTTTTTCACATTCATAGGGTTTTGCACTGTAAAATTCAGTTAAAACAGAGTTACCTTTACCTCCCAAAGAGTCCGAGGAAGAACATTTAGCAGAAACAGCCTCACCTCTAGTGTTTTTCTTCACACGCTAATGTTTTGTAGCCACAACAACAGAATTGTACTTCTTGCCAAATTCACTATAGTGAAATTCAAGGCAATGGTCGTCGTTTTGAGGGAGTGGAGAAGATCCAGCGAGCATATCAAATACAGTGTCTATAAAAAGTCCTGGAAGCAGTGCAGGGATTCAAAAGGAGACAAACTTAGAGGGCACAGATGTGTTTAAACCAGACATGCACAATGTGTCTGTGTAGCTTCTTAGTCATCCAGGTCACGTTAGTGTAGAAAGCCTGAAAAAAGAGACAACTAGACTTCTTTAAATTTGTGAAGATGTTTGACTTCAATAGGTCACATGATGGTCACATGATGTTTTGGGGCAAAGTATGATGGTACCGACCCTCATGTGACTCGTGATAAATCACATGACCTTTTGTTTTTAGAATTGAAGAAGCATTTTTGGATGAAAGGTGACGCGCCTTCATAAACCCAAAGAAGTCCAGTTACCTCGTTTTTTTTAAAGCTCTTTAGACTTTTTAGCTACATTGTTGAAGACGCACGTGTAAACAACAAGGTTAATATGGCTGCTACATATAATTATATAAAGATGGGATCGTTGTTTGAAGCATGTTGAGGCCTCGATAGGCAGTATCACAACTGGAGCAACCACCCTAATCCGTCCCTGAAATCTAAGGCACACTGGGTTACTAAGGTAACAAAGTCTGGCTTTAAAGCCATGTAAAAACTGATGCTTTCCTTTAAGGTTAAAACAAGAGGTTAAAGAACTAATACGCTAACGTTGAGCGTAAATTCCTTCTTAAGGCTTCTTTACAGCAGTTATTCATGGCACCCCTGCATGTTTCTGTATGAGACGTGACAAAATGTCACCAACTATGTGGACCAACCACCGATTAAGTTGCGCCCGTCATCTGCTGACTTTTGTGGTCGAGGATCGAGGCTCTGCAAGTGTTTGTTCCATTCAGTCATCCCATCCAGACTTCAAAAAAATCAGAAAAACTGAAACCAGTGAGTGTTATAATATAATTGAGAGGTGAATCATGGGTACAAGGCCGCAGCGCTGTTTTCAATCAGCTGGATTTTCTTTGTGGTCAAAAATAACTTCTTAAGTTTGAGACTTCTTAAGAGTGAAAGAAAATGGGTTCAAACGTCAAGGGCATGATTACATTTCTTTCAAACTGCAAACAGCAAAGTGCCCCTGAGTCAATCTGAGGCAGATGGTCCTTTAGACGAGTGCAAATAACACAGAATATTAACGATACTGTGGGGTTTTGTGATTATCCAGGAGCTGCATGGATATGAATATAGGCAGAAAAATCTCATTGTTCTGATGCTCTGTGGACATATTTCATGCAGAAAATAGGAAACATCCACAGGCGCTATGTGCAGCCGTCACGCCACACAGCGTGCTTCAGTGTCGGAAAGCTGAGTGCAGCTGTAATCAACAACAGAATGAAGTTCAGTGGGTGACCCGTCTGGTGAAAATCACTTGTTGAGTCACAATGCCACCTGATTGGGAAGCTCTATTGTGTGTGTGTGCGCGCGCAGCTTATTGTTTACACTACCGAAAATGAGTTTCGCTGATGGCATTTTCAGCTGGATGAAAATGTACCTGCTGTTTGTCAAAAGGGCCGAATTTCAAAAACAGGAAGTTTACATCAAATGTTTAAAAAGAGGAAAAAAATAGAAATTAAAACACAAAAAGCATGTATTGTTTACAACAGCCTATTCCTGCTGAAGTTCAAGTTTGCTGCTAAACGGGCAAACGCGCCCTCTTTGGTTGAAGTCACTGCGGTCGTTCAGTCGTGCAATGCGACCTTCGCTAAGACGGATGAGAAGGGCAGCATTTTTAATATACTAGCAGTGTATGTGTATTGTTACTATATTGTTGTTTTTTTATGTGAGCACCTCCACTAGAAATGTATCAAACAGAATGTACATGTTTAACCCCTTCTATTCCACAGTAAGTCCTGCACCTTAGTGCTCTGTAGTGTTCATATTGTTCATACGTCGGATCTGAAGCTCTGTATTTGAGCACATCTGGGAATAGAGATGGTTGAACTCACCCTGCAGCGGACTACCAGGGCTTATCTCACTCAAAAAAATTCTAAGTGAGTTAACATTTTACTTTGAATGACTTATGATTGTTTTCATTTTAATATATTTTGTCAAAGTGGACCTACTAGGCTTATCCTTGCTTTCTGTCACATACATACTGTTCCAATGATCTCTGCTCGTATTAATTATGGTCAAAGGTTCAAATACTGAGCCCAGCATACGTGCAGGTAGTTCCTGTGAGCCAATTTCATTCCTGTTTTTCAGGAAAGTATGATGTGACATCATTCTGGGGTATTTCAGGATAAAGAGAGTATGTCCCGAATTTGGTCACTGGGCGCACACAGCTCTGGTTGTGTGATTGAAGGGGACGCTAATCCTACGTGAGCTGGTTTTAAAATATTCCAAACTCCAGGAGAACTATATTCTCACTTTTTTTAAAATCAGTCATTATAAATAAAAACAGATCTAAGTTATATTTTAAGTGTTAAGTGTTAGCATGTTAGCTAAGTCTTGCTTATTTGGTTGACCTGCAAATTTTCATTCAAGTTAGATGCACGTCATTTTGTCTTGTGGTCAGTGGCTCTGTGCCCTACAAGTGAGCCCTGCCCCTCATTTTGAGAACCACTGGCTCAACAGACTGGTATGTTTGTGCCTGGGTCCCATACAGCAACGGTCCCCAACCCCCGGGACTCGGACCGTGAAATTTATGGTTTTCAGGGTTTTTATTGGGGGGTTTTAAGCGTTATTTTTTGATCGGTTTTTTTGTTAACTCGGTTTCCCTGGGTCTTTTTCCTTGTGTTATGAATAAATCTTGTTTTCTTTGTTACCGGTACTGGTTTTGTTTTGTTGTATTTATCGGCAACACCTTAATGGCCAGTTCCTGAAAATATTGTCGGACATAAACTGGTCCAGGGCGCAAAAACGGTTGGGGACCGCTGCCATACAGAGCCTACGCACAGCTTTTACGATTACTGATGACATGTTGTAGTTGTGCATTGCCACTAGGGGGCAGTGTCAAAAATAAGTGACATAGCACAGTCTGTGGGCTGGTCTTGCGTGTGTTGTTGTTGCGATATAACCAGAGGTGTTTCACCTGGCAAGGCAGGACAATGCTTGCCCCCCGAGAGCAGACAAACTTTAAACTACAGCAGTGCCGATGTTTAAAGACTTTAATGACAGAGGGAGAGCCCATCCAGGTGACCCCACTGTCGTTGGTGGTGTCAGATTCTTTAGAGCATAATGATAATTATAATTACAGCTAAAGGGGCGCCTTTGTATTTCATGGCTAAGGCTGCAACAGACTTTCACCACTGGATACACAAAGAGGGGCTGAAATGTTAAAAACAGTTAGTGCTTGTCGTTGCCGGTTTTATCTTGCAACATTTTTTAATCTTTGTTGTGGTTTTTTCGCATTTGTGATGAACACCACTTTTACTCCCGTTCCTGTTCAGGCCCACTTTTAAACCAATCAGTATTCAACGTACGACCTATAAAAAAAGCATTGTTTTGAACCATGATTAATTCAGAGCTTCTCTAGTCCAGAAATAAAACTACTGAGCTGGAAATGAGCATAGCAGGTCCACTTTAAAGTTTACCCCGAGTCCCTGTGCAGTCCTGAATCCCAGGACTCAAACCTCAGATCACCGGGTTGGGATGCATGCCATATATAGTTCGATTCC